AGAGAGAGAGAGAGAGAGAGAGAGAGAGAGAGAGAGAGAGAGAGAGAGAGAGAGAGAGAGAGAGAGAGAGAAAGAGAATGACTTGGATCTGTATGTCATAGAAACTATTAGAAAGCGAATTCGTCTATTTTTTCCTCTTCATCGAGGAATTTTACAAACAGCACGGCTACGTTGTGGATGGTCTGATTACCAATTTACCATCACGAGCACAGCTACAATCATCTTTTCCCTTTTCTGACGGGCCTCGCTCAGTGAAAGGAAATGCATATTCAGGTCTTCTGGCTCTTCTTGTTAAATTTCCGTTTCTTTGTTTTGTCTCATGGACTTTCATCATTCATGTTACATATAGTATCTCTTTTCCCACCGAGCTTGACTTTCACTGTCATTGTATATCTGTATAAGTCTTCATCTTCCTGTACCCTCAGTCTTATCATCACTCTCTCCCTAGACCTACCGCATTCACCTGAATAGAACACCCAGTCATTATAGCTGTATTTGGGTCAACTTTCAATCCAGATGCAGCAGTAATGACTGGGCATTCTATTCGGGTGAAGATGGTAGTGTTCTTGCTCACCCAGCTATGGTGAGCGCTCGATACTTACCCATGGTGACTCCTGTACTGCCTTCCATTGCCAGCTGCTCTGTCCTAGCTTCAAGCCATAATGAACGTCTTTTTTTTTTTCTATTTTTTTTCAAGAAACAACACACACACACACACGTGTCCCATCTATTCTGGGGGCCGGCAGTGCTGTTGCTTGTCCCCGACAAGCATGTTTCAAATCGAAAAAATTCAAAAGAGCCATAATGAATGTCAGGAGTACCGTCTTCACCCGAATACAACACCCGCTCATTATCGCAGTATCTGGACTGAAAGTTGCCCCAAATGCAACTTTAATGACCGGGTGTCCTAGGCTACCAGCCAGGCCGGCCGGGTCACCCTATTTCCCCGGGCGGCCCGGCCGTGCAAGGACTAGGGAAGGTCCCAGCCAAAAAAAAAAAAAAAAAAAAAAAAAATCCGAAAAAAAACTATGTTATGCAGAAAAATAAACTGAACAAATTTTGCCTCTGGGTCACATCGAAATTCTTTACCAAATTTAAAACAAACATTTAAATTATTTTTTTTTTTTTTTCTTTTTTTCTTTTTGGCCCGGCCGGGCAAGTGGACCCGGGCCACTCTGGTAGCCTAGCCGGGTGTTGTATTCGGGCAAAGACGGTAGTTAGAAAGGATTTTTGACATTTTTGAAGGCCTGCTCAGACTGCTGTTTGTATATCTGTGACCATCGTCCTTCATGACGCTTGTCACCGTACCTCTCATCACCTCCATGTGCAACAGTCTGCTTAGGTTCTATGCATTGCACATAATGATCGGAACCCTTGTCTCTATAATGCTCTAAGCAACTCCGCTAAGTGGTCATTGCAGCCCATGAGGAGCTTGAGTTAGAGGTATTAATAGAAGCCGTATTCAGTACTATCGAGTACTATTCACTCAGGCACGGAATTGGTCACGATTCCGGGTGTCAGTTATGACGTCCGACATGCATACGTCAAGTAGATGGAGTACATACTACATACTCTTTTGCATATTCATTCAGCACCTTGTTTTCTGAACATCGAGAATCAAAGATGTACTAGGCTTTACTATCACAGAGAATGCATCTTTGTGTCGAAGTCACACGGCCGTGTGCTCGTCACGCGAAGTGTAACCATCACCTCTCTCCCTCTCTCTGGACATTTGATTGCCTTGTGTTTATCTGAACACCAATGGCTCCATCAACTACAATCTCTTTAAGCGCGCAGCTACGCATCAGGACGGGTTTTGGGTTAACCATTTGGCCTTTTGGGTTAACCATTTGGCCGCCCTACACCTTGAGGGATTTAACATTGTTTCCCCACAAGGACCACTCTGCTTAATAGGCACTCTCAAAAGTCAAACAGGTGGGCACACTCTACCTTCTTCCCCCGAATACAACGTACGGTCATTATAGCTGTATTTAGACTGAAAGATACCCCAAATACAGCTATAATGACCGTAAGTTGTATTTGGGGGAAGAACGTAGACGCTATCTAACCCTCTCTCCGTGCTCCCCTCTGCTGCTCAGCCGCCTAAGTCTTCTGACATTTTCTCTTGACATGACTCGCTCACGGAGATCATGTCGCTATGCACTCGACCTTGCATCATATGCTCATAGAGGCTCCCTCTTCGTCCACTGACTTCATATAACTGTTTGAAATGCCTTTTTTTTTTTTTTTTTTTTTTTTTTTAACCACTAGTACCTTTGCCGTCCGGTTTCGACAAGTTTTGGTCTAGTCCCGAACTTTTAGGAGGCCGGCCCGACAACGGCTGCCGTTGATAAATCTGATCGGCGGCCGTCATTTCGTTTCGGCCTCCTGAAAGGTTGGAGGCCCGCTATTTTCTGAACCAACAAAGGTACTAGTGGTTTAAGACAAAGCTCCGATCTATTCGTGGGGAACAGCACATGCTGGGAACTGGGCCCAGCATCCCTTCTGATAGCAAAGTTTTGACAATGGTGATGAAACATGGGAGATCAATGAGAGATCCGAACACCTCTCTTGCTGGAGAAAAGGGTCCAGCGTCTCATCCCACACCCTTGGAGTCTGCCTCTTCATCCTTTCCAGGACGCCAGAAAAACAACAACAACAGAAATGCTGATCTCTCAGGTCACAACAAATCCTTGGTACTCTCAAGTCCTGCTCAAGATTGGATTCCATTCTCTTCTGTCATTAAGGTCATCCACAGACATCAGGTGCTTTTCACCACACAATTGGTGGTGTCCCTTGCAGGTAATAGATGCTGTTGGTGTACGCCCATGTTCTCCTGCTGCCATGGATATAGACACTTGCAACAAGATGGTGTGACCTATTTGCATCCGCTTCTGCAACTTCGCGAATGTGGCACTGATCATAACCTGCAATATTTCCCCTCCGTACCCTGTTGATGCCGTCAAGCATTTCCACGGTGCACTTACCTTGTTGACGGCCGTGTCGATCACCATGGGTTATAACGTTATGTAGGAC